GCGTTATGAGACCAGAACTCCTGTGTCTTTGTGAGAGAGAGAGCAAGTGAGCGCAAGCAGAGGGAGCAGGCTTCCCGCTGAGCAGGAAGCCCGATGCCGGACTCGATCCCAGGACCCTGAGATCATGACCTGAGCCGAAGGCAGACACTTCACCGACTGAGCCCCCAGGCGCCCCTAAAAGCCAGTTTATATTATTCCCGGCCTCACACTGCGTCCTTAGTCCTGGCCAGACAATTTCAAAAATGCACTTCCACGGGACATGGAGGTAGCGGTTGGGGGGGCATTGCAGGGGTGCAGGTCTGTGGGCTGCATGCACAGGCCATCCTGTTGGCATTTGAACGCGACTTCTCCCTCAAAGCCGCGAGTGCACGGTGGGGTTCCGTGGCATCCTCCATGATCCCCTGCATTCAAGAAAACAAATCTGACCCGAGTTAGGCTCTGCTAACTTGAACATGGCATATCATGTATTTGATGGAAACCAGTCGATCAGTTCTCGCTTTCCTGACTTTCTCTATTCATTTGGTAAGTTCCGGAGAGCACGCATTTGGTACCAGCTACTATACCAAACCCCAGGGGGTTCAGGAAGATGCTATAACACAAAATAAGAGGGTCTGAGAGGGACCAGTTAGTGGCCAACAGGGAAATTAATAAATTACAGGCTTCAGTTTGAGCGGCGACTCCGACGAGGGCACCCAGAGTCTGGATATGGGTGAGCCCATGGTGGGAATCGCGATCCCGGAGGGATGGGGTTGTGGGTGGTCGGTGACGGCGCGGGAAGATACGTTGGGCATTAGGGCCACCCTCCCTCTGTTCTTCACTGTCACTGCATCCCAAGATCCCCGTATATTTTGGGGTCATAGTGGGGGAGAGGGAAAGGTGCAGATGTCCTACTTGCCCGATTTCTGTTCTCCCATGAGGCCCCAGTGGGACTGCAACTTGCTCGTCCCCTGGCCCCAGTTTCTGGTTGCTTGTGCTGCTCTCCCTGGAGAGTTTGTAGGGGTGGTTGACTTGGGTCAGGGCGTCGCATCCCCAGGCCCCGTGCCCACTGCATCGCCCCCTCTGCAGGGCTCGTCCCCCGAGTGCGCTCTGGCCCAACAGCAGAGGCGGGCCCGCCCCCGGTGGTGCGGCTCGCACGCCACCCCATGCACAGCAGGACCGCGCCTCTCTTGGCCTCCTTGGGATGCTGCCAGGGGAGGGCTAGTTACTGCTGCAGCTAGTGGGACCTGCTTAGCAAGACCGGGCTCGGCGAAGGTAGAAGCCATTTGTCTGCCCAGCTGTGTTGATGGGTCGTTCCTCCCCATTTACGTTCTGATCGACTCCCAGACCTTCTTGGCATCTAACTAGAAATGGAGCGACTTCTGTCTTCCTGTGTTCAAAGGCAGACAGGCCCCGTCGTGCCGCAGCTTGAGGCCAGCATCGGTGCAGAGAGATCTCGAAGGGACTGGTGTGCACGTCGTGGTGTGTCTTCCTCTCTGGCCTCCTCCCGCCTTCTGGCTTCGGGAACCACACGCTTCTCTCTCTCTGCTCTCCTGCGTTGCTCCCCTGGTTCACTGTGCTTCTGCCGTCCACTCCATGCCGAAAGCGTCCTCACGCTCCTTTGGCAGACTTTTTGTGTTCTCCCATGGAGTGCCCATGTTTTGCTGCACGTGGGGTGCTTACCCCAGCGCGCCCTGATGCTGCGGGGGCGCGGACCCCTGTCCCTTGCTGCGCGTGCATCGTGTGGCCCCATATCTCTGCCCTCCGTCGAGTCCTTGCATCTGATAAACACCTGATGGCATTGGTTGGCTGTGCTGGGTC